GTGGCTGTAGGAGATGCTGCGATGGTCATAAGTGTGAATAATGTCATAAGTTGCTTTTTCAGTTCTGTTCTAACTTTGAACGGTCACTAAGTGAGCCGTTGTAAGCAGAGGACTGCTTGTCCCTTTGGGACAAGCATGACCTGGAGCAGGGGTCTCCAACCTTGGCCACTTTAAGCCTGGCGGACTTCAACTCCCAGAACTCCCCAGCTGGGAATCCTGCCAGGCTTAGAGTGGCCACGGTTGGAGACCCCTGACTCCACAGGCATTTCTTCACCCTTGTTTTGTGCGCAATGTTTGCAGAGATTTGAAGGGGCTGTTCGAGTCCTCTGGCGTCCGCTCTCCTCCGAGCTCCAGTTGCTTCTTTCCATCGCTTTGCCTCTTTCCCAGTTCCTAATTCTCCCCTCTGTCCTCTCCTGACCCCCTCCCAGGTCCTGTGATTCCTCCTTAAAGCGTGGCACCCCAAACCGGACTCCAGATGGGGGCTGGCCCACGCAGAGGAAAAAGGATTAACGAATCCCCAGGACTTAACTTCTACTTCTGTTGATGCAGCTGAAACAAAGAAGAGCTGCCTTCGCCGTTTTCCAGCCCCGTCGGTCGTGCCAGGCCACTGAGTCATGGTCTCTTTGCAGGCCCCCCTGCACGATTCCCTTAGCTGGGAGGACTGGGAAGAGGGAGGACGGCATCTTTCCAACTCCATAATTCCCGGGATAAATGCCACAGTCAAAGGTGCCACACCTGGAATTGAAAGAGAAGTCTGTTCTCCAGCAGAGGGATTTTTTTTAATTTAGATTTTTATTATTACTTATGCAAGTAACAAAGTAATTCAAGGTGGCAAACATGCCTAATATTCCTTCCTCCTGCTATTTTTCCAATAACAACAACCTTGTGAGGTGGGTTGGGCTCAGAGAGAGTGCCTGGCCCCAAACTGTTTTTCATGGCTGAGCAGGGACTAGAACTCACCACCTCCTGGTGATTGGCCCAAAGTCACCTAGCTGGCTTTCATGCCGAAGGCAGAACTAGAACTCACCGTCTCCTGGTTTCTAATCCAGACCCAGCGTGTCCAACCTGAAGCCTGTGGGATGCATGCAATCCTGGACATCTTGTAATGCAGCCCCACAAGATTTAGTAAAAAAATCTAAAAATAATAAAGTAACGTTATTTATATAGATTAACTGCAATGTATATTTTATATAAGGCCCAAGCATTGCATGAGACCCAGGCAAGCCAAAAGTTTGGACACCTATGGACGGCATCAAACGGGATGTTAGCACAGACATGACCTCATTCTATATGAAGGAGGCTCATATCTCCGCTTCCTACTCCTGTTTGGAGAAGTTAAGCCACAGAAGGCATCTGTCATGCAGAAGATAATTTGAGCCCCTGGAGGGCTCTCTTGCTGGGAGGCTTCAGGAGTCCAACAGATGTGGGACAGGCACGTCATCTGGAAGAAACGTTGATGAAGCTTTACCAAAGCAAGCTGCTTTCCATCCTCAGCTGGAGGATTCTGGGAGTTGAAGTCCACTCTTCTTAAAGCCAACAAGGTTGAAGATCACTGTTCTTTTTTTTTTTTAAATTTGATTTATATGCCGCCCTTCTCCGGAGACTCAGGGCGGCTTACAATGCGTTAAGCAATAGCCTTCATAGTTTTGTATATATTTATACAAAGTCAGCTTATTGCCCCCACAAACTGGGTCCTCATTTCACCTACCTTAGAAAGGATGGAAGGCTGAGTCAACCTTGAGCCTTGGAGAGATTCGAACCAGCAGAAATTGCAGGCAGCTGTGTTAATTACAGGGTGCACTAAATCCCTGTACTATCAAGGCTCTTGACCAAGGTTCTTGACCAAGGTTCTTCAAATTTGGCAGCTTTAAGGCTTATGGACTTCCACGCCCAGAATTCCCTAACACGAATGCATTCTTTTTGAGATGAAACCCCACCCCCACCCCCCTTTATGGCCTGCTTATTCTCTTGCAATCCCTTCCTCTACAATCTCTCCTCTCTAGGAGGCAGGAGAAAAGAAGCAGGAATGGCTGGCTGGAGAATTCTGGGAATTGAAGTCCACGAGTCTTAAAGTTGCCAGGTTTGGAGACCTCTGCTCTAGAACAAGGAAAAGAGCCGCCCTCCGTGCTCTGGAGAGCAATCCCTGCAAAGGATTCCCTGGCTGAGGCCACCAAGGCAGGGAAAGCCAAGAGGACATAATCCAGGAGGGAAATGGTCCTCTTTCTTTCCCAGCAGAGCTTCTGCCTTCCGGAGCATCCAAAGTTAGGAGAGGACATTGCCCAGCCCAGTCGCCAAGAAAGCGAAAGGCAGTCCGGGGGTGGTGGGGGACGGACGGACTCCTGAGGGGGGCTCCCAGGTTGATCAGAAAGCCCCCCCCCGTCCCTTCCTCTGCAAACACTCTGCCTTTAAAAGGCAGGGAAAGGACACCATTGCATCTTAATTTCCACCCCACACTGAACCAGCCCTCCTTCGCTCCGTCTTCCCAAGAGAGCCCTTCCGTCTCCCTCCTTTTTTTTTTTTTGGAGTTGGCCAAGGCTTCCCCCACCAGCTGCTGGTCGGAGGAATGTCGGAATGTCGCCTTTGTCCAGCTCAGCGCCAAATTGGATTTGGAAAAGCAAACTAACAGCTTTTTCTCAAGCATTTCACACGTCGTTCTTCCTCCTCCTCTTCTTCCTTTTAAAGGAGCTTTTTCCTGCCATCAGTTCTTCTCAGACTGAGCAACTTTGGGTAGCCTCTTGCAAGCAAGGCCCAGGTTGAAGGGGGCTTCCCCGCCCCCTCCTCAAATGGTCATGTTTGGCTGGGGGAGCCTTGAGCCAGACGCATGGCCGAAGCTGCAAAACTCTGGCAGGTTTTTTTAAAAAATTTCCTTTGGACCTTCCTTTGTTTTTCCTTCTTCTTTGAGGTCCCAGCCACAGACCCCTACTCCTTTAAGCATCCTGCACTTCTTTCCTTTATTTCTTTATTTATCTTTCCCCACTTAGCGTTTGGTAGCCCCACCCTCCCTGGCACTGATGACGATCCCTAGGTGGGTCAGGAATGTCTGCAGGAAAACCACTAAGCTCAGAGAGCACCAAGGACCCCCAAATCCAACCCTGGGCCACGAAGACTCTCTTCTACTGGAACCCCAGCACGGGGGTAGTAGCTTCAGGGGAAGGGAAGGTCCAGGAAGAAAAGTTTCAGGGGCCGAGATGTTGAGATGTGAGATCTCCTGTCCCACTTCTGGAAGATGAATGCAGAGGGAGGAGAATTGCTCAGGAAGAGGCTTTGGATAGCAAGGAAACCAACCTCTTTGCTTGTTTATTTTTAATGTTGGGAAATGGGGAAAAAGCCCTTGTGCATGGGGGTACAATTTAATTTATGTAAATCAGCAGCCTGCTCCTTTTCCCACACTCCGGCCAGTGGAGAGCAGGATGAGACAATATTAAAAAGCAAACAGAACTCAGACATCCGTTGAAGCCAAAGCGCCGGCATAGAAGGGTATTTTTGGCCCTGGCTGATGAATCAGGAAGTTGGTATCGGGGGCACCCCAGTCACCAAGTGGGGCTGAATTCTAGTCAGCATCCCACCCCTCCCCCCAAACCTTTTGTCAAAGAAAAGAAAAGAAAAGGAAGGGAAACCGTGGAGAACTGCGAAGTACAAGACAGGAATGAATGGAACTGAGCCCCAAATTTCTGTTGCTAAGAGAGACAGTTGTTAAGTGAGTTTGGCTCCGTTTTACGACCTTTCTTGCCACAGTTGTTCAGTGAATCAATGTCATTGTTAAGTTAGCGACATGGTTGTTAAGTGAATCTGGCTACCCTGTTGACTTTGCTTGTGAGAAGGTCGCCACTATTTTCAGTGCCGTCGTAACTTCGAATGGATACTAAACAAATGCTTGTAAATTGAGGTCTACCTGTAACTGAGGTTATCCATCTTTGCAGCTGATGTCAGAGAGGCAATTTTGTACCGTAAACCAGGGCCTGCCACTGTTTTTATTCTGTTTTTTCTAAACAGCTGCCTTTCCAATCAGGAATGGATCTTCTTGCAATTGTTCATGGGTTTTCCTTCCCACAATCCTCCTGGGGACATAGGAGTGTTGCGGTCCCACCACATCTGGAGATGGGCTTATCCCCCACAGACCCAATAAGGACACAGAAGAGAGAGCTGTGGCCGAGTGCCTTCTCACCCAGGTGGCCCACTGCACAGATGGCACCAAGCTGGTTTGCCTGCACAGCTGGCCCTCTGATTTAGCTGCAGAGCTGGCACGAAGTAGGTTTGGTTGCAGAACTGGCACCAAGCTGCACAGCTGGCAGCAGTGGGTCCTCACTGAAAAGCTGCACAGAGTTGGGACCCAGATGTTAAAGTGCTGATAGCCAAAGGGCTAACTAGCCACCCATTGCTGTCCTTTCAGTGGCCCTTTGGCCAGTCTGGGGAGCAGGATGGTCTTCTCGACCTCCAGAGCTGGCAGAAGGCTGCCCCCGACTCCTCCCGCAGGGGGGTGGGCGTGTGGCGGCTCTCCTGCCCCTTGGTGCCTGGACTGGGTTGCTCAGCCAGGGGTGCCGGCAGACCCAGCCCAGGAGATCCGATGCCTGCCGGTCCTTTTCTCTTCCAGGAATCCTGTGCTGGCTCCTTTCAGATCCTGCCTTCAATTGATTCTTTTGTTGTCCGCTCCCAGAGAACTCTGGTTACAACAAGAATGCCTGGTTTGTGTGTGTGTGTGTGTGTGTGTGTGTGTCTGTCTGTCTGGGTACACAGTTGAAGCAACACAACATTCATTCATTTATCATATGGCACTTTCACATCATATTTCAGTATAAAAAAGGAACCCGGGGGTAAAATGCCAAACATAGAATATGAACTCTGAAACCTTCACAGAAAGATTACAATCGTACTATGTCTAAATTGCAAATATAACTTGATTTGTCGCAGCTGGGAAACCTCCCTGATGGCCTCTGTTTTGACACTCTTGACACTTTGTGCTGTGCAACACAGCAACATGTTTGTGACTCTCTCCCTCCCAGGAGAAGAGCCCGGGGACCCCAGCCTCACCATGCCCGAAGGTGCCCGCCGGGGCAGCACCAAGGAAAGAGGCAACCCAGGTTAGTCCGGGCTCCCCTCTTGCATTCACCCAGTTGCCCGGGAAAGGGAGAAGATCCTTGGGGGGAACAGAACCCCTTCCCCAAATCTGGGCTCCGATTCTGGCTTGCATTCCAAGGTTTGTGCCTGGCTGTTGCAACCCTTACTTTCTTTCTCCCCCCTTTGCAGAGCTTTGACGGGAGGGAGGTGGAGAGTAGAGAAGGGGCAGGGTGGGTGAGTGAGTGGGTGGGGGGTTCCCTTTCTTTGCACGCTGCGCCTCCCAGCATGCCTTGCGAGAGAAACCACAGCTTTGAAAGGTGAGAAAAAAACCCACAAAGGATGTGAAGAGGCAGGAAGCAGCTTTTTTTTATTGTTCTAAGGGTGAAAAGAGCCGGGGAGGGGGAAACCAGCTGCCCTCCCTACCTCCAAGTGGGCTCCTCACCTGTGCCCCCCCCCCCAACATTAATGGCTGCAAGGCCTTTTGGGGAAGTGACTGCAGACCCTGTGGCTTCCTCCCCAGCAGCCCCCAGGCCCTCCTCTACCTCCTCGCTGGCTGGAATCGGGACCAAGATGGCGTCGGACCCCATTCTGGGCAGCTGCACCTCGGTGAACACCGTCTGCTCGGACAGCGACCGCCCTGTCAGCCTCAGCTCTTCGGCCTCCTCCGCCTCTTTGCAGGACGGCTCCAGTGCCTTTGGCAGCAGCATCGGGCTGGGGGGCTGCCCTCCTCCTTACTCCCAGCAAAACGGCAGCGACATCAGCCTGGATCTGACTCCCGTGACGCTGCTGGATCGGCTGGCGGACACCGCGGGAGACGGGCAGCAGTGCTGCGGCTGGGCGCCGGGTCCCGGCCGGGCCAAAGAACGCCGGATCAAGCCGTCCCATCTGGACCGGGTGGTGCTGGAGATTGTGGAAACCGAGCAGGCTTACGTCCGGGATCTCAGGAGCATCGTGGAGGTAGGAGGGCAGGAGGGTGGGGGGAAGTTTGGGGCTCACAAAGGAGCTTTGGAGCATACAAGCAAGCAACTCCTGACTTCATTAAAGCAGCAGCCTCCTCTCTGGGGAATTCTTGGCTGCGACTCTTTAAAGCAGCCGCATCCTCTCCGGGATGGCCCAGTTCCTGGAAATTGAGATTCTGGGAGTTGACACCTATCCATCTTAAAGCTGCCCGTGCAACAGCCCTGTGAAGTTGGCCAGGCTGGGGAAGAAAGGACCTCTTGCAAAAGCTGTGCTGTTCCAGCAGCTCCCCTCCCCCATTTCAGCAACCCAGCCTCTGTGTGTGTGTGTACCGGCCTTCTCTCCCAGACCCCCCAAGGGCCCTTGCAGGAGAGGGTCTGTGGGTCTGCTGTATCTAAATGGGGTGATGTCTCCCCCCTTTCCTTCCTGCACAGGATTACCTGGGCTGCATTATCGACTGCGGACAGGTGTCCCTGAAACCGGAACAAGTCGGTGCTTTGTTTTGCAACATCGAGGACATTTACGAGTTCAACAGGTGAGGTGAATTCAACAGGTGCAGTGGGACATCTCTTGGCTCAGGCTGGGGAGGGGTCAGTCGGCCTTGGAGTTCAGAGCAGGGCAAAATATATGTTTGTTTATATATTTATCCAACGTATTGGCCACCCGTCTTAACACAGGATAACTCTGGGCCACTTACAGTACAGGTAGTCCTCGACTTACGACCACAGTTGAGCCCCAAACTTCTGTTGCTAAGCGAGACAGTTGTTAAATAAATTTGGCCCCATTTTACGACCTTCCTTGCCACGGCTCTTAAGTGAACCACTGGCACTTGTTATGTTAGTAACATGGTCCTTAAGTGAATCTGGCTTCCCCATTGACTTTGCTTGTCAGAAGGTCGCAAAAGGGGATCACGTGACCCCCCCCTCCCCCCCGGGACACTGCAGCCGTCATATGTATATGCCAGTGTCCACATTTTGATCACGTGACCAAGGGGATGCTGCAACGGTCGTAAGTGTGAAAAATGGTCGTAAGTCACTTTTTCCAGTGCCATTGTAACTTTGAACGGTCACTAAACAAACTGTTGTAAGTGGAGGACTGCCTGTGTTAAAAAATGAAACTATATAAAATGCTTAGGATGGTTTTCCTGGGCTGAAGGGGGAAGGCCTGGCCCCAGTCTTGTTTTCCTTTGCCCGCCAGACAATCCCCCTCCTCACCCCTCCTCTAAGGCTTGAATATCCCACCAGGATCTCATCTCAGTTCCTGGCAGCCGCCTGGTTTTCCTGGTGTTTTTCTTTCTTTCTTTTTTGTTTTTTTTTTTGCTGGTGGCCCTGAACTCAGCAGACTTTTCTTCTGCTTTTGATTTTCGGTGAAGGGGCTGGAATTCATCAAGGAAGGGCCGGGCATAAATATTTAAGAGGATGTCTCATAAAACGGGATCTCGAATAAGTCGACCTAATAACTTCTGGGGGATTTATGGCCATGGGAATCGGCTTAGGACCCGGGCCAAGACTTTTCTGGGAGGTGGGGGGAAAGACGGACGGACGGACGGAGATCTGGCTCATGGGGGAGAGTCACGGCGAAGCTTTTCTTAGAAGACTCTGTGGTCCTGAGTCACCTGGAGCAGAAGGTGGCCATCGACAGGACGCTGTGGCCGAGCGGAGAAATAAATTTTGTGGCCCAGGAGAAAAATAATTCCGCCAACAAGAGAAATAATTTTCCTGCCAGAAGGATTCCAAAGGAAGCCTTGAGGTTACAAGAAGCGTGGTGACTTGGCATGCCAGGCGCCTCCGATGCCAGCCTCGACCGAAGCCCAGCAACCCAAGTCCCACCTTGGAGCCTGTTTTTTCCCAAAGATAGAACAACTCATGGTTGGGTGGCCTTGGAAGACATTGAAAAGCCTCTTCCAGTATCCCCGGCTTCTTCCCTCCCACCCTGGGGTTCTCTGGGCCAGGGATTTTCATACAGAAAGTCCTTGTTTTAATTTAATTTTAATTTAGTGGGGAAACGGCTTCCAAGATGGACACAAGTCCAAAACATACGAAGAACAATTGTGGAAGTTGGGTATGACTAGAGTCATGAAAAGAAGGATTAAGAGTGATACGATAGAAATCTTCCAATATTTGAGGGGCTGCCACAAGGAAGAGGGGGTCCACCTATTCTCCAAAGCCCCTGAAGGCAGGACAAGAAGCAATGCATGGGAACGAATCAAGGAGAGAAGCAACCTGGCATTCAGGAGGAATTTCCTAACAGTGAGGACAATCAATAAGTGGAACGGCTTCCTTCCTGAAATTGTGGGTGCTCCAATATTGGAGGCTTTTAAGAAGAGATTGGACAGCCATTTGTCTGGAATGGTAGAGGGTCTGCTGTTTGCGCAGGGGGTTGGACTAGAAGACCTCCAAGGTCCCTTCCAAATCTTATTCTGTTAATCTGTGTCCAGCTCCTTCCAGAATTCCTTCTGGTGTTCCCTCACTTTCAAAGTGCTAAAAATCCATGCGCCGTCCTTAACCTGGGAGAAAAGTCCGGTCATGCATCTCTCCCCAGCCTGCTTGCTGACCCAGCCAGCCCCCTCCCCATTTTTTCCAAAAACAGGGATGGCAAAACCCAACCCACTCCGCATCTGACCTTGAATCTGGTGGTGGTTTTGACACTGAGCAGCTCGGGAGGATTTAAGCTTGTCTCATTCCTGAGCTGGCCGAGGAGGAGACAGAAATCCTGCTAAAGGTGCATGGATAGACATTTGGATGGATGGATGGACGGATGGATGGACGGATGGATGGAGTTTGCCAGGGCTGCCTTGAACCTTGGTCAGCTGCGAATGGAGCAAAATATTGGAGGAGTGTCCGGTTGATGGCAGGCGTGAACCGATCCTGGGTTAATTCTCCCAACACTTTTTAGTTCCCCATTGTATTTTTGCAAGAAGAATAAACTGGAAAGGAATATCGAATCCAGAGATCCCCTCCACCCCCCCCTCCCTCCCTGCCTGAGGATGGTGTGTTTAATTCCCCTTGGTCCATCGTCCTGCCTTTGCGGAAAATCTCTATTTTCCTTGCTTCAGCATCTTGCTTTCCGGTTCATGGAAATACACTCCCTGACTTGAAGGCACAGCTGGTGCCAGACTCTGAAACGGCACCTTCCTTTCCAAGGAAGGGGGGGGGGAGATAGATAGATAGATAGATAGATAGATAGATAGATAGATAGATAGAATGAAAGAAAGAAAGAAGAAAGAAAGAAAGAAAGAAAGAAAGAAAGAAAGAAAGAAAGAAAGAAAGAAAAAAAGAAAGAAAGAGAAAAAAATCCATGGATCAAATTGAACCCAGGAGATGCAAACCCCCACATAACTGGGGTGTTTTGCCCCAAGTTCATTTTCGCAGCAGGCTGGTCTGATCCATCACCTGCTTTTGCAGCGGTGAACCAGGAGAGCAGGACTGGGGGTGGAGAGGGAGAGTTTTTGTCAACTTGGCATTTGCTGAGCCTGTAATTTGAGGAAGACTGGGGAGGGGGTGGATTGAGGGGCTGAGAAGGGGGAAGTGGGGGAGATGAAGGCTGGGAAGGACACAGAAGGAAGCTGGGGGTGGGGCGGTTGGAGCAGCACCGGCCTGGCAGGAAAGTTGCTTGGCCCCAGACTCTCTGGGGAGGGGGCAGTCTCTGTCCTTGCCACAGTAATCTCAGCCTGACCTAGGAAGGAAGAGGTGATAGAGAGCAGGAGAGGGTGGAGGAAGGGAGAACATCTGCTTAAACCTGGCAGATCTCAAATCGTGGTGCTGTTTCTGGAACGTGGAACTTTTGCCCCATCCTGCTGGAAGTGCTGAGAATTAGAACTCGGTTCACTCCGGGGAATGAAGAGTGCCTCTGAGCATGCACCGAGGTTCAAGGCTCCCGATGGTGTCATCTTAAGGACAGAGCAGCAACGGCAGAGCCTCCTTAAGTGAGGTCTGCAATGGGGATCCCTCCACCTCTACCTCTGGATCCCTTTTCCCCTTCTTTTCCCTTGCAAATGATTCAAGGCCAAAGTCCGGGAAAGGAAAGGTTCCAATTCCTCCGGCTTCCAGATCTTTCCCTCCAAATTCCCTGCAAGTCATTCTCCCACGAAAGGCTTGAATGAGCCCCTGGCCAGTTCAAACGGGGCCCCATTTCAACCCAACTGGAAACTCACTGGGAACTAAAGTCCAGAAGAATTTGGATACAAACAGCTCTCATTCTTAAAATGCATCTCTCTCTCTCTCTCTCTTTTTCTGTCTTCCCACCTTCCCTTCTTCCCCGTCCCCTTCAGGTAAGGGAGATCTCCGGCATATTGCAGATGGAGAAGGTTCCCCAATGAGACTTTCTGGATCCTTGCCAGCTGCTTGGTTTATTTTTAGTTGCCCCCCCCCAGCCCCTCTCTTTTTTCCCCGGCCTCCTGCTGATTTTTCGCCTTTTAAAACCTGGCCGGTGGCCAAGAGCTCCATCAATGCTCCTGACTTCCCATCTGGGAGAGTTTTGGTGGGGAGGCACCGGCGGGAAACGCAGGGGAAGTGGGGGGAAGGAGCTGGTTGGGGGGTCCCCTCCCTCCACCGAAGCCCCCTTCCCACTAATCCTTCAGCTCCCCCCCCCCCGCCCCCATTCACAGGAAGGCACTGGCTGCCCTGCCTCGAAGCGCAATTATCCTCAGTTTGTGTTTGCAGGGGATTCAGTAACAGGGAGAAAAAAAGACGAGGCATAAAGTGCCTTCAAGGATGGGGGGGGCGAGCTGCAACCTGTGGCAAATCTCCTCCTTTATGCCCCTTTTGCAATTCTTTTCTCTCTTGGGACAGTGAGCTGCTAGAGGATCTGGAGAGGAACACCAGTGCCCACGCAATCGCGGACTGCTTTGTGCAAAGGGTAAGTGCCTGACTTCTCCCCCTCCCCCTCCTCCCCCTCCCCCCCTTCTCTAGCAGGCAGAGAAACCACCTTTTCCTTGTGTGCTGTGATGCATTTGATGCTGTTCCGTTTCATTTTGCAGAGCGAAGAATTTGATATCTACACTTTGTACTGCATGAACTACCCCAAGTAAGTACACAATCCTATGCAAATCAATAAAGCATGAACCTCCTGCTTCCCCGTGTGGTTTTCAGCACAATCTGGGTTGATTTTTCTGCCCCCCCCCCATCCTTTAGTCCAGGGGTGTCCAAACTTTGGCCACGTTAAGACCTGTGGACTTCAACTCCCAGAATTCCCCACCCAGTCACGCTGACTGGGGAATTCTGGGAGTTGAAGTCTTCAGGTCTTAAAGTTGCCAAATTTGGAGACCCCTGCTCTAGTCCCCTCCAGCAGTGTTGGTTAACCTTACTCATTTTATAATGTCTGGACTACAACTCCCAGAATGCCCAGCCAGCTAGGCAAAGTTATAAATCTCCGTTTCTCACTTTCCTTCTCTCCTCTCCCCATGACAAGCTCTGTCTCGGTGCTCCGGCAGTGCATGGAGGATGAATCCCTGGCGAAATTCTTCCGGGAGAGGCAGGCCACTCTCTCGCACTCGCTGCCACTGGAGACGTACCTTCTCAAGCCGGTCCAGCGAATTCTGAAGTACCATCTGCTGCTGCAGGTTAGTGGCGCCACTTCGGTGTCTTTGGTGGTCTCTGAGCTGGGTTGCTTTCTTGCAGACATTTCGTGACCCAGCTAGGTAACCTCACCTATGCTAGAAGGGAGTAAAGGTGTGTGGAGAGGAGGGGGAGGAGGACTGGGGGGTCCTTGGGGCGCTCTGAGCTTGGTGGTTTTCTTACAAACCTTACATTACCAAACTAGGTAACATCATCAGTGCTAGAAGAGAGTGGGGCTTGTACAGTGGAGGACAATGGGAGGAAGAGGAGGGGGAAGAGGAGGAAGAGATTGTGGGGTCCCTGGGGCTCTCTGAGCTTGCTTGGTTTTCTTGCAGACGTTTCATGACCCAACTAGGTAATATCACCAGTTTTTCTGAGGAAGGGGTTTGCTCTCTGTTTCTATACAGTACCTTGCCTTGCAGTCTATGCAGCCTATACCCAGGTAAGCAGGGATTAACACCAGACAAACAATCAAGCAGAAAACAATATCCTAAGCAAGGAATGATGGAGAAAACTCACACCAACCCTTGCAGGGCAAGCTACTGTATAGAAACAGAGAGCAAACCCTTATCAGATTCTTGTTCATTTTAATGCTCCTATATTTATTAATTTATGTACCTATGTATTTATTTATTTCTTACATTTATATGCTGCTCATCTCACCAAGAAGTGGCTATATGATTTATGAATTTATTATACTGCAAATCGTCCAGAGTTGCTTCTAAGTCAGAAATAACATCCTGTACAAAAAGTAAATTGGATGCAGAATTTAACTCTAACTGGAAAACCATTCTTAAAAATGAAGGTTGGGTGTGGATTAGTGCCACAGGTGAAGTGCGGATTCTCTTCCCCAGAGGCTGATCTGGAATTTCCAGGTTGTTTCTCAGATTCCCACTGAATGAACGTCTCTTGTCTCTGACCCCCCCCCCCTGTTGTCCCCCCCCCCCACACACACCTGTTTTTCCTTCGCAGGAACTAGCCAAACATTATGACAAGAGCAGTCCTGGCTACGACTCGGTGGAAGAGGCCAGCATCACCATGACGGCGGTGGCTTGGTACATCAATGACATGAAGCGGAAACAGGAACATGCCAGTCGGCTGCAGGTGCGGAGGGGCAACCTTCCCGGCAACGGGAAAGAATTCAGCCTTTTTTGTGGATTGGGAAGGGCCAGCTCACCTGGGCTGCTTTAGCCCATCTGGGGTGGGGGAGGGAGGATACTGGCATCCCATGCCTAAGTCAGAACTCCTGGAGGGGAGTTCCTGCCTTTGTGGGGTCCTCGGTGCTCTCTGATCTTGGTGGTTTTCTGGCAGACGTTTCATGACCCAGCTAGGTGACATCATCAATACTAGAAGGAGGAAGGTTTGCTCTCTGCAAACAAGCTGCTTGTAGATAAACAGGCAGCACAGACCCATCCATGAGGTCTCCAATGATCCAGTTTGATCCCAGGGACTCCCCCTCCCCTTTTCGTAAGCTGAACTCTCTCCTCCTCTCCCCTTCTAGGAGATCCAGGGTTTGCTGGCTGGCTGGACTGGTCCGGAGCTGGGGGCCTTTGGGGAGCTGATCCTGGAGGGTCAGTTCCGGGTGCCACGAGCCCGCAAGGAGAGGGTCTTCTTCCTTCTCAGCAAAGTCCTGCTGATCGCCAAGCGGCGCGGGGAGACCCTCGTCTACAAGAGCCACATCTTTGTAAGGGGGAGTCTGGGCCGGAGGAGGATTGGGACCAGTTAGATCTGGGTTTCCCAACCTGGGCACGCTGCCTGGGGAATTCTGGGAGTTGTAGTCCACTCAGCTTAAAGTGGCATGCCACGGGGGGAATTCTGGGAGTTGTAGTCCATCTAGCTTAAAGTGGCATGCTGCCTGGGGAATTCTGGGAGTTGTAGTCCATCTAGCTTAAAGTGGCATGCCACGGGGGGAATTCTGGGAATTGTAGTCCACCCAGCTTAAAGTGGCATGCTGCCTGGGGAATTCTGGGAGTTGTAGTCCATCAGCTTAAAGTGGCATGCCACGGGGGGAATTCTGGGAGTTGTAGTCCACTCAGCTTAAAGTGGCATGCTGCCTGGGGAATTCTGGGAGTTGAAATCCTCTTAGCTTAAAGTCCCTGAGGCTGAGTTAGATTTGGGGGGCAACGTTTTCAGTGACTTTCCCCTCTGGCTTCACAGTGTTGCAACCTGGCGCTCCAGGAGAACACCAAGGACCCTCTGAGCTTCAAACTCTCGGACCTCTCTATTCCCAAACAGCAACACACCGTCCAGGTGAGACGCCCAGCGCCGACAGCAGCTGATTCAGGAAGTCTGTGGACCTCTAGGAGACGGTTGCCCATGGAAAGCGATTTGGGGAAGGGCCTGAGCTCAGATCTCAGTGAAATGGGCGTAGAATGCCTTTCTTCCTGGGAAATCAGAAGTGTGGGGGGGGAATTCAGATTTTTCCTCAGCTACAGGTCCTGTAATTGTGTGGGGGAAAGACCTCGAGGGATGGGGGTGAAGAGATGCTGGACGGATAAGAGGGGACGTAGCCCTCAGCTGCATAATGGGTGAAAAAAAGGGGCTCAGAAGGGATCATCCCTAAATCTCAGGTTGTGAAGGAGACCGTTGGAGGTTTGTATTTTCAGACTTGCAAGGTTCTCTTTGTGTAGTTTCACAAACAGCTCACCTGGTTGTGTTTCCTGTCTGGATTACCTGGGAAGGCTGGCAGATCCCAGGAAGCCACTGTCTTGCCCTTGATCCCATCATCTTAATCCTAATCTTGCCCTGAGCCTGAGCCTTAAATGGTTTTATTTCACTCTTTTACAATCCCGTCTGCAAAATTTTTTCAAATGTTTCCTGCTTAAACGGAACCATGGCCTGTTTGTTGCTGATCAACTGACCCACATTCATCCTTGGTAGATTCCTATATATCTTTGGAGGAAGAACCGTAGCTGCCGGTCTTTAGCTGCTTGTCAGCCAAGCAACGTTCCCAAAATATTTGAAGTGTGTTCAGTTGCAAATTGTCAATTTATAGCTAGTCCTCGACTTATGACCACAACTGAGCCCAAAACATCCGTTGCAAAGCAAGAAGGTTGTTAGGAGAGTTTTGCCCCATTTTACGACCTTTCTCGCCAGCATTGTTAAGTGAATCCCTGTAGCTGTTACGTTAGTAAGAGGGTTATGAAGTGAATCTGGCAAAATCCCTTGATTTTGCTTCTCAGAAGGTCGCAAAGGGGGATCACGTGACACTCCCCCCCCAGGGACCCTGCAACCGTCATAAGTACATGCCAGTTGCCAAGCCTCCGGACTTTAATCATGTGACCATAGGAGATGCTGGGATGGTCCTATGTGAGAAAAACGGCCATAGGTCCCTTTTTCCAGTGCTGTTGTGACTCTGAATGGCCCTTAAATGCATCGTTGTAAGGCGAGGATTACCTGTAGATGCTTCTGGATTCCCGGGCTACAGAAATGGCCTCCACACCTTCCTTTCTCCGCTGTTCCAGGTGAGGAATCAGGAAGAGAAGCGACTTTGGATTCATTACCTGAAGCGCTTGATTGTGGAAAACCACCCGGCCTCCATTCCCCAGAAGGTAAAGGGGGAGGGGGCTTCGGGGGAGGCAGCCGGCTGGGGGGTTTCTGAACTTGGGCTCTGAATGGAAGGGGGAAGCCTCTAAGGGTAGTCCCCGAATTACGACCACTATTTGGATTTGGAAATTTGGTTGTGAGCCATTGCGTTTATAGAATAGAATAGAATATTCTTGATTGGCCAAGTGTGATTGGACACACAAGGAATTTGCCTTTGGTGCATAGGCTCTCAGCGTACATAAAAAAAACCCACATTCGTCAGGAATCCTAAGATAAAACACTTAGTGATAGTCATAGGATACTAAATAAGCAGTCAAATCATACTGGGAAACTAAATAAAACAATATAAATCGTAAAGATGGAAGCAACCAAGGTCCTAAGTGGGAGGAGATAGGTAATAGGAAGGATGAGAAGAATAATAGTAATACAGCCTTAGTAAATAGTTTGACAGTGTTGTGGGGGTTATTTGTTTAGCAGAGTGACGGCATGGGGGTAAAAGCTCTCCTTGTGTCTGGTTGTTCGGACGTGCAGTGCTCTATAACGTCGTTTTGAGGGTAGGAGTTGAAGCAGTTTATGTCCAGGATGTGAGGGGCCTGTAGATATTTTCATTATAAGTCAAGGCAACATTTTTTCCAACAGTTTTCATGACAGTCATTAAGGATACGGCACGGTCATTAAGTGGAACCCAAAATGTGGTGGGGGTGCATGAGATTTTACGGTGGCTGGAAGTGCCTCCCAGGCCGTAAAGCACTCTCTTTGAAGCTGTCATAATTCAGAATTGTCGTAAAACATACGGTCGTAAGTGGAGAACTACCAGTGTTTTCCAAACTTGGCCACTTTCAGACGGGTGGACTTCAACTCCCAGAATTCTTGCTCCTGATGGTCTCTTTCTTTCTCTTTCCAGGCCAAGCAAGTCCTCCTGGAGAACAGCTTCCAGGGTAAGAGTCTGGGGGTCTGCCAGACCCCAACCCCATTTCCAGGATATCGCTACAGCCGCCTCTTCTTGCATGGGGGGTGGATGGGGACACAGGTCTCTGGCCATTTGCTTTCCAAGTGACGGGGTTCTCTCCCTCTTGCTAGGCTCCCCAGACGTGGTCTTCAGCCCCGAGACCCCCAAGAAGCCCCTGCCTTCTCCTCCGCTGGACGAGTCCAGGGCCGGCATTCGTGGCCGGCGGCAATCAGGTGAGACAGGACAGGCATCTCCTCAGGGGCTTCCTTCCGGGATGGTCAAGAATTCCTTGACCCACCTGGTGGATAGAGAGTTCCTGAGAGGCACCTGGGGAGACAGGTACAGGTAGTCCTCGACTTACAACAGTTCGTTTAGTGACCGCCCAAATTTACAACAGCACTGAAAAATGTGACTTATGACTGTTTTTCAAAGTTACAACAATTTGCAGCATCCCCACGGCCATGTGGTCAGAATTCAGCCGCTTGGCAACTGACTCATATTTATGACGGTCACAGAGACACACGATCCTCTTTGGCGACCTTCTGACAAGCGATGGGGAAGCCAGATTCACTGAACAACCAGGTTACTAATTTATCAACTGCAGTGATTCACTTAACAACCATGGCAAGAAAGGTCGTAAAATGGGGCAAAATTTACTTAACAAATGTCTCGCTTAACAACAGAAATTTTGGGCTCAATTGTGGTTGTGGGAATGCTGCAACGGTTGTAAGTGTGAAAAACGGTCATAAACCACCTTTTTCAGTGTAACTTGAAACAGTCACTAAATGAACTGTTGTAAGTTGAGGACTACCTATAGGAGACTTGGCCTAACAGTGGAGGGTATAGGAACTTCGATGTTTTCCAGCTTCTCATTTTTAAGACAAAGAGCCAAAAAGGAGGCCTCAAATCAGCCTTCTGAGTTCAGAAAGACTCTGGACCACAATTCCCAGAATTCTCTTGAGCCTCGTTGGCTAAGAATGCTGGGAGCTGTAGTCCTGATACATACTACCAGTAGACCTAGAACAGAGTTCCTCAGCTCTACGAGGCATAATGAATCGTTGTTTCGCTTAACAACTGTGGCATTTGCTTCACGACCATTGCCCAAAGGGTCATAATAATTGAGTCAGTTGTGCTGGTGACCTGCTTTATGACAGTCCCAATTTACAGCTGTGATGGGAAGGTTCTATTACGGTTGAATTGTAAATCAGGGAATGCCTGCAAACCAGGCAAGGAATTTGCAATCCAAAACCCTAAACCCAGAATTCCTGAAGGGTCGTATTCAGTAGGTGGGTTTAAAAGTGGAGCTGGGTGTCCTTGGACCATCCCTGCCGAGGCGGGGCAGGGATTCGAACTCAGAACTTCCTCTTTCAGAGCCTCCGGAGTCCATGTACAGCCCTGAGAGAATCCGGCGGAGCTGCCCCATTTTACAGCTGGAGAAAAGCGGCTCTTATCGCCGGGGCCGCAGGCAGTCAGGTGAGCTACCTGGAGAAAGGGGCGTGGCTACACAAGGTGGGTGGGACTCCAGCACATCCTCAGGCAGACAAGCCGTTCCCAAAGCACGGTGCCTGTTCTGCAACGGGTCACCAGGGGGCGCCAGCAGACCACGAGACCTGCTCATCTTCCGGATTCAGAGGTCCTTTTTTGGTGACCGGAATGGTCACTTTGAACACAGCCAGGGCAGATGGTCAGGGGCAGGAAGCTTCTGAGTGAGCCTCCCAGAGGAAGCTGATCAGGGGTGAAATGCTACCGGTTTGGGCCGGTTCGCCCGAACCGGTAGTAAAAAAAGTAAAAAAAAAAGTTCCAAAGATCAGCTGAGCGAACCTTTTTTTTTTTACTTTTTAAGCAATTTTTTACTACTGCTTCTCCGGAACTGGTAGTTAAAAATGTTTTAAAAAGTAAAAAAAAAAAAGTTCCGACAATAGCACATCACTCAGCTGATCTTCGGAACTTTTTTTTTTTTTTACTTTTTAAGCATTTTTTTGAACTCCAACTCCCAGAATTCCCCAGCCAACTTGAAGATCCGTGGACTTCAACTCTCTCCAAGGTCGAGGCTATTAAAGCTGTAGAAGTTAGAACTGCTATGATTTTGTCTGGGGAATTCTGGGAGTTGAAGCCCAGCTCTCTTCAAGCAGCCAAAGTTAGGGAACGCTGCCCAAGAAGACAGAACACCACGCTGATGGCTTCTCCAGTGACGCTATCTGGAGCTTGGGAACCTTCTCCGGAACCGGGAGTTAAAAATGCTTTTAAAAAGTAAGAAAAAAGGTTCCGACGATCGTGCGCCACAGCTGGTTTTTTTAACCTCTTTAAAGCATTTTTTACTTTTGGTGCACATGTTTGTTGCAACCAGCAAACCGGTCCTAAACTGGTCCAGTTTCTGGGAGTTGGAGTCCATCCATCTTCAAGCAGCCAAGCTTGAGAAATACTGCCTTAGACACTATACAAGTGGATGCTCAACTTACAACTGTTTCTCTAGCAACCATTCAAAGTTTAGTGTCACTCAAAAAAAGTCACTTATGACCGGTCCTCGCCCTTATGTCCATTGCAGCGTCTCAGAGTCATCGTGATCGCCAGTTGCAACCTTCTCTGCCCTGCTTCCCACAAGCAAAGTCAACGGGGAAGCCAGGTTCACTTAATGACCACAATTCACTTAAGAACTTTGGTGAAAAAATTGGTTAAACCCCAGTGCAATTCACTTAACAACCTCCTAACTTAGCAACGGAGGTCGTGGTCCCAATGAAGGTCGTAGGTTGAGGACTGCCTGTAGTTATAATACCTGTTTTTTGCTACCGAACCAGTGCTGCCTTAACAATTCTGAAAGGTTTTATTCTTTTATAAAATTAATCTTAACCTCTCCTCCTCTCCTCATGCAGATTTAGAGGTGAGTTAATTTAACCCTCACCCCGATGCTAACCGTCATGCTAACTCTAACCCTGTTGCTTCCTTATAGAGCCAGCCAAGGAATCTCAGATTATATTTCATCCAGCAAGTAAGACCCTTTTTCTCCCGGATTCTGGGTGTTTATTAGGGGTGAACGTTGTTGGCATGTGCTCAAAATCTAGAGGCTTGGCAACCGATTCATACTTATGACCGTGGCTGTGTCCCAAGGTCACATAATCCCCTTTGGCGACCTTCTGACGAGTGAAGTCAAGGGGGAAGTCAGATTCACTTAACAACCATGTTACTAATTTAACAACTGCAGTGATTCGCTTAACAGCTGGGGCAAGATAGGTCGTAAAATAGGACAAAACTAATAAATGTCTCGCTTAACGACATAAATGGTGGGCTCATAAATTAACGACATAAATGGTGGTCGTAATCCGAGGACCACTTGCAAAAGATTTTGTACAATACAGAGAGTCCTCGACTTAGGAGCGCGACCGCAACTGAAATTTCTGTCGCTAGACAGTTGTTAAGTGAGTCGCATCCTTTTCTTACTGCAGTCCTTAAGTAAATCCCCTAGCCATTAAGCAAGTCCAACTTCCCCCATTGACTTCGCTTACCAGAATCCAAGGAAGGTCACTAATGAGGATTGCTCGACCCTCAGGACGCTGCAGCCATCATCTATACGTACAATTTGGAATTTGGAACATGTGACCACAAAGGTCGCTACGACGGTTGTAAGTGCGAGGACCACCCATAAATAATTTTTCTTCCTCCAAACTTTGAAAGAAATGGTTGTACATCGAAGGCTGCTTAGCTCTCCAAAGCGTTGGTTAGAAGGGGCAAAGGGGGACGTCCTAGAAGCTTCCTGTGGTTTCCTAGGAAGACAGGACGGCTTCTCCCTTCCAGAGAAATGTTGAGGATTTTCCCAAGTCTTGTTTTATGATTCATTCATTAAAAAAAAAAAAGGACTTGGAGTCTGTGAACGGATCTGTTACGACAGAGCCTGCCACTCTGGAGGGCCACGATTTTTCAGAGAATTGTAAGCCCTGGATATCTACGGGAAATACTCCGAGGAATTGGGCCGCAACCCATTAAAAACATCTGCCAACGTGGCATCGCTCCAAAGGATTGATGCAACCGTTTCCTTTGTCCAATATTGAATTTCCCACGAAAAACAAAATGCCTTTGATGAGAGTTTTTTTTCCCTTTTCTTGTCTTTTCTCTCCTGATCTCGTCTTTTACCTGCTGGGACCTTTTCAGACGGGGCCAGGTTAAAGGTAAGCTCCCCAGGTGTGACCTGTGGCTGTTCCTGGGGGGACGGGACACATTATAGGAAGATTTCTTTTCTTTTATATTTTCTTTTATTTTCTTGCTTTGTTTTATATTCATTCATTCATTTATATTTTTTATTTTCCTTTGCTCCGTTTTGTCCCAAGAAAGGAGCCTTCCCGAAATTGGTTTACATCAGGGAATAATAGAAAGCAAAATAGATAGCTTTTTTTTTTTTAAAAAAAGAATGATTATAATAGAATAAAACATTGCAGTTCCAAAGAGGAGCTATTGAATTTCTAGCAAACAGTGGAAACTACTGTTAGTATCTTGATTTAGTTCTTGAGTTCAGTGGCTTAGACCACTGGTGAAATCCAAATTTTTTTACTACCGGTTCTGTGGGCGTGGCTTGGTGGGCATGGTGTGGTGTGGCTTGGTGGGTGTGGCAGGGAAGGATACTGCAAAATCTCCATTCCCATCCCACTCTGGGGCCAGCCAGAGGTGGTATTTGCCGGTTCTCCGAGCTGCTCAAAATTTCCACTACCGCTTCTCCAGAACCTGTCAGAACCTGCTGGATTTCAGCCCTGGCTTAGACCTGGGAAGAAGACCAAAATATATTGTATATCTCTTCGTTTGTGGCTACATAGGGATTCTAGGCTGATGCCTGTTTTCACTCTGCCCCCTGTCTCTGCCATTCCTTCTCCTGCACTCTCCTCCTTTGCAGCATGCGGACAGCGAGGGAGACCTCTTCCCCACCAGCGAGCCCCTCCTCTCCTCCAGCAGCTCCTGCACGCTGGCCTCAGCCAAACCAGAGGAGGAAGCCGAACCCTCGGACCTGGAAGCGGAGGAGGCCGAATTCTCCCTGGCACAAGACCCGCTTACCACCAACCTCTCCATCACCGAGGAGATCCTGGAGCTACTTAGCCAACGGGGCCTGGACAAGGACACTGGAAAGGAGGGGAGGTTTTGGAGAGAAAGTAGCTCCGAAGCCCCCAGCTCGGCTCTGCAGGTAATCTCTCAGAGGTGGTGATTATTATTATTATTTAATAATAATGGAAGGAAGGAAGGAAGGAAGGAAGGAAGGAAGGAAGGAAGGAAGGAAGGAAGGAAGGAAGGAAGGGCCGTAGTGGCTTAGTGGTTAGAATGCAGTATTGCAAGCTAATTCTGCTCACTGCCAGCAGTTCGATCCTGACTGGCTTAAGGTTGACTCAACCTTCCATCCTTCCAAGGTTGGTAAAATGAGGACCCAGATTGTTGGGTGCCATAGGCTGACTCTACAAACAGCTTGGAGAGGGCTGGAAAGCACTGTGAAGTGGTATATAAGTCTAAGTGCTATTGCTAAGTGCTATTAATAATTTATTAAATTATTATTTATTAAATTTATTCCTGAAGCCTGTTCCTGATAAGCCATGGAAGAGAGGGTGAGCCTCATAGGGACCTTGTAAGTATTTCTCAGCCCTGGCAACTTGAAGATGGGTGGACTTCAATTCCCAGAATTCCCCAGCCAGCTCTGCTTGCCCTCCTTCCACTGCTCGCTCTGCTGGCTGGGGAACTCTGGGAATTGAGGTCCACCCAGGGCTGAGAAACAGTGCCGAGGAGTGTAATTTCCAGCTTCCAACACCGCAGAGCCACAAGGAGACTTGCAGGGACTTAGGGGAGGGGGGAGAATATTCGGTGTATGCTCAGAAACCCTGTTACGTTCCCTTCAAGAAGGCAACGATGGCCGTGGGCAGCTGCCTTCCCTCCAAGAGTCCCGGTTGATGAAAGGGCTTCCTGAAGGAGAAGCAGCTGGCCCAAACAGATGTTCTCCAGACGGTATCTCCGAGAGGTGTTTCTCCAGCTGCGTGTCCTGGGGAGATGTGGGGGTCGAAGCCCCTGGGGAGGATAACTCAGGGAAGCAGAAGCTTGTCTGAAGGCACCCCAGAGAGAGAACGGAGGTCCAGGGCGTCCTTGGGCTGTGTTAAGTCTGTGTTTGTCTTCTGCCCCACATTCAGGATCCGCTCTCGACCAAGGATGGCGTAGAAGAACAGGAGGACAAAATGGAAGAGCAGCAGGAGGAGGAGAATGGGGTCTTCCAGGAGGAGGCCCCCTCTCTCCCTCCCCAAGGGAGCTCCCTCCAAGAACAGTTGCTCCCCGCACTCCCCCACCCCTTCGGCAGCGACTCTTCTGAAGAAGAGGACCTCCACCGACCGCAGGAATCCTCCGGTCCCTCTCCTCTGCATGTCCTGGAAGATCTCCCCTTGGAGGAGACCAGCAGCTCAGCCTCCATAGGGCAGGAGGCTGCCCAGGGGGAAAGCCAGACCCCCAACTCTTCGACCAGGCCTCACTCCTGCCCCATAAGCTCCACGGGCGGCTTCGGCAGTGAGGAGCAAAACACGGAGGTAGACCCCAACCTGACCAGGGACGACTGGGTTCTGCTGGAGAAGATCCAGAGCTACTGCCAAAGCGTGGAAGGGGGCAAGAAGGGGCCGGAGGTCGCCAAGGAAGAGGGGGTCCCCCCAGTTCCCGCCGGGGTGGTGCGAGAATCCGTCCTGCGGTTCAACAGCATCTCCAAGCAGCAGGAGGCTCTGGGAGAAGAGGGAGGAGCCCAGCTTAGAAGGCTCCGCCCACAATCCGGCCACCTAAGCCGGACCCGGAGTCAATCCTGCAGCAGCCAACATCTGTCCGTCCCCAAAACCACCACCGGACGGAGTCGGGCGCTCACAACAATCGAGCGGAACCATTCGGATGCGGGTTGCTTCCCTGCGCAGCCTGAGAGTCCCGAGGGGCAGGGGGCAGAGAAGGGGGACCCCTCTGATGCTCCCCCAGAAGCTTTGGGGAGAGAAAGAAAGCAGCGGGAGCCGAGCAACGGATCGGAGGAGAGTCCCGAAGAGCCCGGGTTCCGATCCTGTGCAGAAATCCGGCGGGCTTGGCAGGAGAAGGAGCGGAGCGCTAAGGACACCCCCAAGAAGGGGGCTCAGGGGGTCAAGCGGAGAGTCTTCTGCTCCCCCGATCGGCCTGTGTACGCAGAGCCCCTCTGCATCGTGGAGGATTCGGACTTGGAGGACCCTCTCCGGGCTCCCAGCAAGGAACCGGACGTCCCCCTGGGGCAGCCGAGGGACGGGTGGGCGAAGGAGGGGCTCCCTGCCTCGGCGGACTTCCTGCCAGCCCTGGGCCTCTATCAGAGCGACGGGGAGCCCTGCCTTCTGGAGAACTCCGAGCGGATAATCAGCAAGGTCCAAGCCCTGGCCAGGATGTACAGCGACAAGATCAGCCGGCTGAAGTCCCAGAAGTGGACCTTGGAGAGGCCCGGCGTGCGGCCCCGGGGCCCCCACCAGAAGGCCTTGGGCAGGGGCCAGGAAGCCTTGCAGGAGAGCCAGCAAGGAGGAAGCTTCCCCCAGTGTGAGTCAACCCTCCTTCCCAGCCCTTGGTGGGCCTTCTGCCTCGCCCTCCTTTCCCTCCCCAGGTGCCCAGCCAGGCAGAAGGCATCTAGGGCCCGGTTCATACCACGGACTGAACTGGGCAAAGGGGCACAAAAGCTACACATGATGCCCCATGCTTATCTCATGCACACCTGGGCATTGGATAGCCTCCTTCCTTCCTTCCTTCCTTCCTTCCTTCCTTCCTTCCTTCCTTCCTTCCTTCCTTCCTTCCTTCCTTCCTTCCTTCTTTTTCTTTGTCTCTTTCTTTCTTTCTTTCTTTCTTTCTATCTTTCTTTCTTTCTCTAAACTTTTGTTTAGTCTTTCTTTCTCTATTCTCTCTCTCTCTCTTTCTTTGTCTTTTCTTTCTTTCATTCTTTCTCTCTTTTAGTCTTTCCATTTTCTTTCTTTTTCTTCCTTCCTTTCTCTCTCTCTCTCATTCCTTCCTCTTTTTTCTTCTTTCATCCCTCTCTCCCTCCCTCCCTCCCTCCCTCTTTCCTTTATTTTCCACCCCCCTCAAAGAGCCTCTCTCAAAAAATACCCATAGGAATACATTGATTTGGTTAACAACTGAAGCTTTTGCTTAATGGCCACTACAAAAAAAAAAAAAATTGTATAGCGGTCACGTGGGCGCTTCAACCTAACAGAAATTCTGGGCTCCATTTGCGTCGTAAATCGAGGATCCCATAATTAAATAGATTTAGCACTCTCCCGTTGTCGGTCTCCCCTCGAGGAAACCGGTGTTTCATTTTGCCTCCTGCCTCTCTCTCCCCACAGGTGAGCCCCAAATCTACGGCCACGTGCTGATCCACGAGTCCCTCCCACATGTGGTCGGCATCCAGGAGAACACGCCTCTGGTGGCCGCCACGCGTGAAACAGCCGTGGTGCTGCACAGCGACAGACCCTGCCGGCTTCTTTCGCCTCAGATCCTGGCCTCACTGCAGCACGACTTGCACGAACCGCTGCCCCCTCCTTCGGGGGTCCCCATGGGAGGAGAAAAGACGCTCGCGGCCCCCGCAGTGGGAGGAGGAGGAGGAGGAGCAGGGAGCCCCAGGGGTCTCTCGTGGACAGAGGGCCCTTCCTCCACCCTGGCCCCCAGCCCACAGAAGGGCCCTCCCGCGTCTTCCAAAGCGTCACACCGGATGGAGCACGGAGGGAAGAGCGACCACGGAAACCCAGGTCCCCGTGAGCCAGGCTGGAATATGGAGGGGGGCAGTCGGCCTCCGGAGACCAGGCTCCACCCCAAGATTTCTGTGGGTGCAGAGCAAGCCAGCCCTGCCCCCCAACCGCAGCAAGGCCTCAGCGACCACAGTTCTGACAATGTTTCCGTCTCTTGGGAGCCCCCCAAGGAACCCAAGGCCAGGACAGCCGGCTGCCCCATTTTCTGCCTGCTGGAGGGGCCCCTGGCCCCAGCATCGGGAAAGGGCCACTCCCCACCAAGCACTGGGGGGAGAAGCCATTCACCCCTTTTTTCGGAGAGTAAGGGCCCAGACCGAGAGGCAACGGGGCTCAGCCAGGAAGCCTCTGGGACGCCGCCTGGGGGGCTCCACCAGTGTCCCCCAAAACCTTCTGCTGCTTCTGAACCCACCACAGCCACCCAGCCCCTGCCACTTGACTCCTCCACTGAGGGGCTGCCCTCCCCACCCCAGGAAGCCCTTCCCGCTGCCCCTTCTGAACTCCCGGCCGGGGTGGAGTCCCCCGTGTGCATCGCAGGGCAATGCCCCAGGGTGCCACTCCCCAAATTCCTCCCCTCGTCCCCCGTCCGCCGATGCCTCTCGTCCAGCGCTGCTGCCATCTCCAGGTACATTGCCGCCTCCTGCATCTCTCAAAGTCTGGCCAAGAGGAATGGCGTCCCTCCCCCCGAGGACCCCCAGGGGCCCTGGCTGCCAGCCGACCCCCTGGCTTCACTCCCCAAGGCAGCACCCAGGCGTCATCGGAACCCAGGAAGGCCAGAGATGGTGGTCGCCTCCTCCTCCTCTCAGTGCATTGGCCCTGGGCCCCTCTCCCCCTCTCCTTGCAGACCCCCCTTGTCGGGACCCCCGGCTCTTGAACGATGCCCCCCCTTCTCCTCTGCCTCGGCCCCCAACTCTCGTGTGCAGTCCCCCGTGAGGCCCAGGATGTGTTCGCCCCCTCCAGGAGGAGCCCACCCCTGCACTTTCAGGCCCCTGGGGGTCCACCCGCAGAAGCAGCCCCCCGTCCCCATGGCCCACCCAGAGCCCTGGACGCCAGGCCTCTCCTGTCCCACGGTCTGCTTGAGAGCCCAAAGGACCCTCCTGCCATCTGAAGAGCCATCCCCCAATGGGGGGCCCCAGGAATCCTCGGGCTCCGAGGCCTCATCCGGAAGTGGCCCCCACTCCCACGAACTGGGCAGCATCAGGTGGCCGAACGTGCCGAATCTGTGTTTGAAATACGTCAACCAAGAGGAGTGGACAGGCGGCTCCCCAAGACTGCAGCTTGAGATGGGGGAGCACTGCCCCAAACGGGGAGCCCCCTTGAGCCTGGACACGGCTCGGTTCCCCGAGAAGGGTCCTCAGAAGGCCAGTTACTCCACCACAGTCAACATCCAGATTGGGTGCAGCGGTCGGATCTCCTCATTTAGTAACGCTCAGGTCAGCCTGACGCATCCTCTCTCGGCCACGCTGGAGCAGCGGAGGGTCAATGGCGGTGAGGCCGAGACGCCCCCAAAACCGGGCACCTGAAGGCATGAAGCTGGACGTGCCAGCGGAGCCCAACGTCCTGACAGTGCTGGCTGGAACCGGCCCTGACCACGCGGCCCAAGAAGAGGGTGAAGGTGCAGGCGGTTGGTGACCGCCAGCTGAGAGATTGTCTTCTGGGTGCTGAGAAGACAGTAGAGACACACCAGATTCCAGAAGATCCTGAGAAGGGATCTTGCCTCCTTCCTCCTCGCCAGATCGAGCCTCCGTCGGTCTCAGCGTCTTGAGAGGGAGAACCAGAAGGCCAGGAAGGGACCAAACTGGGTTCACTGGTGGTCGCAGGAAGGCCGGGCGAGGGTTAAGCAAATCAAACCCTCTTGAGAAGGGGGAAGGTTGCCAGTTGGGAATTCTCTATTGTGTCGCTTCCCTTTTTACTGGTTCTGAATCCTTTGGAAAAGAGACAACTGTCACACGAAGGCCTCTTGGTGCATTTGTGGGTGAATGATGGGGAGGTGGGGAGGGCCCTCTGGGGACGCGGCTTTGGAGGTCCTCCACCCATCCTGGAGCACTTGGCAGAGGTGTGGCGGGGGGGAGATAAGCACAGCTCCTGGCGTCTCAGCCGTTTGGGGCTTCAGCAACTCGACATTTCCAGATTCAGAAAGGGGCTGGTTTGGAAGTACAGATGATCCTCAACATGACAACAATGAAGCCCCAAATTTCCTTTGCTAAATGAGACAGTTGTTAAGTGAGTTTTGTCCCATTTTGCGACCTTGCTTGCCACAGTTGTTAAGTGAATCGGGCTTCCCCATTGTCTTTGCTGGTCGTGCAAGAATGATAGGAGTTACTTCTGAGTAGCTCCTTTATTGGTTGCTTGCCTATAGACAGAATCTTGCCGGACTAAAGCTGCCATCACTATTATACAGTATACAGTATGTGGTCCTTGACTTAAGAACAGTTCATTTAGTGACTGTTGGAAGCTATAACGGCACTGAAAAAAGGGACTGATGACCGTTTTTCACACTTGCGACCGTTTCAGCCTCCCCGTGGTCACGTGATCAAAATTCAGACACTTGACAACTGACTCATATTTATGACGGTTTCAATGTCATGGGGTCACGTGATCCCCCTTTGCGACCTTCTAACGAGCAAAGTCAACGGGGAAGCCAGATTCACTTAACAACCATGTGACTAACTTAATAACTGCAGCCATTCACTTAGTAACGATGGCAAGATAGGCTGCAAAACGGGGTGAAACCGGACTTTGCGTCTCACTTAGCAACACAAATTTTGGGCTCAGTTGTGGTCGTAAGTTGAGGATTACCTGTATTCCTCAGCCGTGTGGCCAGATTTGGTTTGGAGAAGGGGATCTTGCTCGGGAGCTCCCGGACCTGAACTGATCACTTCCTGGATTGCGTCAATAAAAGGCGGGATAAAAACAAATCAGAATTAAATGAATTAAAGCAACCCCCTGGGTCTGGCCCAGAGATGCTCTTCCCAAAAGCCTCCAATTTGCAGCTGTTTCGCTCTGCAGCCGGGCCAGCTTTCCCACTGAGCCACTGGATCCGTTTCCAGGAATATTGTTTAGATCCGTAGTTGGGTCGCCGGTTCAGCTTGGAGTCTGTCCCAGAGACTCTCGTGTCTGAATCCGGAATCGTTTTCTGTCAAACTGAGACGCTCGTCCGGTGAGCGGTCGTGCTGCGGGCAGCCATTGCCTCTGCCAAGAAAGCATTCCAGCACCTTCCATCCAAAAGGAGAGGGCATTTTTCAAAAATCCTTTGGAACCGGCGGGTGAGGCCATTTTTGAAGGGGAATCTCAAAGCTAGAATTGCTCTAGAACCCCTTTTTACAGTGATCTAGACCGACTTCAGCCGCTGTAAATAACTAGATTATTTATGGGAGAAAAGAGGCAGCCTCAAAATATGTTTCCCTTGTAAGGGAGAATTTTATTTTGGAGGGAACCGGGGGTTAAAACGTAACTTCACACGTCCCTTGTGAGGAGTCCTTGGCTCTCTCAGCTTGGTGGTTTTCTTGCAGACCTCTCATTACCAAACTAGGTAATATTATCAGCGAGAAGCAAATGGGTTTGCACTGATGATGTTACCTAGTTTGGTAATGAAACGTCTGCTTTGAAAACCAAACTCGGAGAGCACCAAGGATCTCACAATCTTCCTCCTCCTCTGCAAACACCTCTCCCTCCTAGCATTGATGATGTTACCTAGTTGGGTCATGAAACGTCTGCAAGAAAGCCACCAAGCTCAGAGACCACCAAGGAACCCACCAGTCCTCCTCCTCCTCCTCCACCCAAACTCTACTCGCTTCTAGAACCGATGGAATTCTAACAGCTGTGCAAAAATACAAGGGAAAAGGATTTCCTTGCCTTCATCAAATTTTTCTCCAAGGAAACAAAATGTACAAAAATGCGTGGAAAGTGACTCCTTAGTCATAGTAACCATCAGCAGAATTTTCCCTTCTGGGAAAGAAGGAAAAAGTCGATTAGCAAGAGGCTGGTAGATGCGATCTGCAGATATGCACCTGTGGGAATCCCCTCAAAAGTATTAGGGGAGCTCGCACAGGGAAATTATGTTTTGGGGAAAAAGATATAACTTCATTTCTCTGCAGCAAACGTTATTGGTCTGTAGAGCCATAGGGTTTCTCAACTTTGGCCATTTTAACTCCCAGAATTCCCTAATCAGCATTCGTGGACTTTGACTCCCAGAATTCCTAGCCAGCATGAATTCTGGGAGTTGAAGTCCACCCATCTTAAAATGGCCAAGCTTGAGGAAGACTGCTGTAATGGGTGGCTTAGCAACAGGTTGGTAAGCTCAGAAATGGGCTCTAAAGCTTTGCTGGCTGGGGAATTCTAGGAGTTGAAGTCCACCAGGCTTAAGGTTGCCAAGGTTGGAGAGCCCTGCTCTAAAGTGTTTGGTCATTAAGGACAAGAAGTTTTATATTTTTTTTCCTATTACTTTTCTTGGAGGAAAAGCAATAATCAATGGCCCCGGCAGCTCCTTCGGAATATTAATTTTAGCTCTCTGTGGCTCCCCTGAACGTGAAAATTTGTTTTCTGCTCTCCCACTGTTCTGTAGCGGGGAACGCAGGGAAACCACCTGGCCAGCCTTAAAGAGATGCATCCGTGGTTCAAAAGCCACGTCTCCCCTTCTCCAGTCTGCCCCCCTAGCCCTGCCCATGTGATCTGGCTCCAGCTGCCCGGTCTCTGAGCCCTCCCCAGCTGCCAAGGGTGGTGCTTTTCCATCCAAGGGAGCCCATGGGGGTCCTAAAATAGGGGTAACCAGAATGTGCATCATGTTTAGATACAGTGTAAATCCTGTGTTCGCTAGCACTGATGATGTTCCCTAGTTGGATCATGAAAGGTCTGCAAGAAAACAATCATGCTCAGAGAGCACCATGGACCCCACAGCCCTCTCTCCTCTTCCCCTTCTCCTCCTGTCCAAAAACCCCACTCCTTCCTAGCCCTGATGATGTTCCCTCATTGGGTCATGAAATGCCTGTAAACAACCAGTTTCCGAGAGCACCGAAGACCCCACAGTTCCTCCTCTCTGCAAACCCTTCTAGCACTGATGACGTTACCTGGTTTGGTAATGAAAGTTCTGCAAGAAAAACAACTAAGCTCAAAGAACCCCAAGGACTCCGCAGCCCATCCCGGAGCCGCACAGATTGCCGCCTACTGGAACGATGTCATCCATTCCATGAGATCTTGGCGTTGCTGCCAATACTTGGGGGAAATTTGGGAGTTGGGATGCAACTGACCAGTTATGCCCATTTCCCCCCTGTAGTCATATCTCCCCCAAGTCCTGAAATCACCCAGGCAACAGGTGGGGTGAAGGTGAAGAGGGGGGTCAAACGCCTGGCTCACCTTGAACCCTCCTCCACCCCAGCTACCTATGAGCCCAGCTTTTTTGTAATGGGCTCTGCCGCTTCTGCTTTTTCTGCTGAGTTGTCTTCCCTGTGACGATGGGTCATGGGTGAGCAACCATGTGCCTGAGCTCCCCCCGCCCCCCCCCAAATCAGAGGGTTCCCAGGCAGCGCAACCCTTCAGTCTGTTTCATGCCACGGAAGGGTGGAAGACGGCAGCAGCAGCCCAGAGGTTTTTCCCATCCGGGCTGAAGGACTTCCGGGGGCTTCTTCCCCAAAGGCCAAAGGGCAGGAGGCCAGGAGCAGCCCACAAGCGGCCTGGGAACGCCGGGCTTGGGGGCATCCGGGAGCCTTGGAACTGGGTGCGAAGGAGGCTACGTGCTTCAAGACACTAGGCAGCATGAGGGAGGCCACGGCTTTCAAAAATCACTTGGTTGCATTAGATTAGAACCACTACAGACAAGAGTAAGGCTCTTTCTTTCTTTTTCTTTCCTTCCTTCCTTCTTTTTTCTTCCTTTTTCTCTTTCTCTCTCTCTCCTTCTGTCCCTTCCTCCCTCTGCCTGCCTGCCTTCCCTCCCTTCTTTTCTTTTTCTTTCTTTTTTCCTACCATCCTCTCTCCCTTCCTTTCTTTCTCCTTCCCTTCCTCTTTCCTTCCTTCCTTCCTCCCTCCTTCCTTCTTTCCTTTTTCCTTTCCTTTTTCTTTCTTTTCTTTCTCCCTCCATTTCTTCTGGGGGGGGGAGGGAGACTAGCCCAAAGTCACCCAGATCTCTACGTCTCCCAGCTCCTAGTCCAGCCCCTTTAACTACAGGACCAGACCAGACACCAAACCTTCCAGTCAGCTAGAAAAACTAGAATTCTCCTGGTGCAACTTCTGCCAGCTTCTGCACAAGCCCCCTTTCGCTGCCACCCCTCCAGCACTTTGGGGTGAGCAGGCCTCAATCTCCCCCAGTCTCTTCCCAATTGGCCCACCTGAGCCCGGTGATGTCCCAGGTTTGAGGCATCAGAGGTGAGTTTGTGGGAGGGAGGGAGGGAGGGAGGGAGGGAGGGAGGGAAGGAGCCAAACCAGGCAGACTTTAGGATCCCGAGGATGCCTGCCTGTGCTCCAGCCTGTCTGGGATGCACCTGGCTGGGAATTGCAGAAGAGCCAAGAGTGTGAAGGGGGAGACCAGCTGGGAAAGCTTTGCTCTTTTCTCTCTGCAAAAGGCATCTTCTCGCACTCGGCTCTCCTGCCTGGACCACCGAAGGAACCTGCTTCCATCGGTAAGTAGTGGCTTGTCGAATCTTCCTCCTTTCGGGCAGAGGGGCTTCCCCAGGTTGAGGGGCTGCCTATCAAAGCCTCTTTTGGGGCCCCTTGCAAACAAAAGGAAGTGAGAGGGAGAGTACAGAGTTGGAGGTCTCCTAGTCCAACCTTGGAACTTTTAAAGACTTGTGGACTTCAACTCCCAGAATTGCTGGCTGGGGAATTCTGGGAGTTGAGGTCCACAAGTCTTAAAGTTCCCAAGATTGCTTACTCTTACTCCATACCATTCCAGACAAGTGACTGCCCAGTCTCTTCTTGGAAGCCTCCAGTGAAGGAGCACCCACAGCTTCTGGAGGGAAGCAGCTAATTGTCCCCACTGTTAGGAAGTTGCTCCTGAATGCCAGGTTGCTTCTCTCCTTGATTCGTTCCCATGCGTTGCTTCTTGTCCTGCCTTCAGGGGCTTTGGAGAAGACCTCCTCTTCTCTGTGGCAGCCCCTCAGATATTGGAAGATTTCTATCACGTCACCCCAGAGCTTCTCCTCCTGAGACTAGACATACCCAGGTCCTGCAACCGTTCATCGTACGGTTTACGGCAAAGAGCTTGCCAAATCAAGCCTGCATTGACCGCTGGAGAAAAGCAGACCAGCCTTGCCTGGAGATGTTAAAGGGGGCATCACAATGCAAGCACCCTCCCTGATCTGCATGTCTCCACGGATCAATAGAGGACTTGATTACTCATTATCCAAACTAGGTAACATCACCAGTGCTAGAAGGGACTCCATATAAACACAGAGTCCCCCCTTATAGCACTGATGATGTTACCTATGAGATGCTGCAAGAAAACTTCACAGTCTTCCTCCTCCTCCTCCCCCACAAACCTCCCTCCCTTCTAGCATTGATGATGTTACCTAGCTGGGTAATGAAACGTCTGCAAGAAAACAACCCAGCTCAGAGAGCATGAAGGACCCTACAGTCCTCCCCCTCCCCCTCCTCCTCCTCCTCCTCTTCCCTTTCCACCTTTTCCGTGAACCCCCAGACCCTCGGTACCTGCCATGTTATTTTGTGGGTGCTTTGCCGGTTTCGGATATTCACGGCTGAGCTGCTGAGGGCTGGGTTTTCCAGCAGGGCGACACCCAGCCTGCTTGAAATAAAACAGACCCACAATAAACAAACATGAAAAGGAGAAACAAGATGCTACTGAGACTGAAAAAGGAGAAGGAACGTGGTTTTCCTTCAGGGTGGAATGAAGGCCAGCTCGACTGGGACATGTTGACCTCAGTTCTTTTGGGAAAGAACTAACCCGGGTTAATTTAGTGAAGCGTACTGTAGTTGAACTTGCATGTTGAAGTGAATCACTCTATGCCATTGTTCCTCAATCGCGGTCACTTTAAGGCTTGTGGACTTCACCTCCCATAATTCCTAAGAGCTAGCTGGGGGATTCTGGGAGTTGAAGTCCACTCATCTTAAAGTGACCAAGGTTGACAAACACCATTGCATGCAGTCAAACAGCAGCTGTATGTCCCCCCCCCACCCCTCCCAAGCCGAGATCTGAAGAACTACTGGCCTGATCCTGGTTTATTCCATCTCTGGATTGCTACCTCTCTGTCTTTGTCCTTCAAGGGTGGGGAACTCCTGTGCTGCAGATGGGATGCACCTTATCCAGCACGGGGGACGCAACGGACCCAGCCGTCTCTGCAGACAGGAGGGGCTCAGCTTTAGGCCTGGATGAGAAAGGGACGGACGGCAGCCACGGGGAGAGGGAGGAAGCGTTTCCCCTCTCCGAGGCCCAGAAAGAGTGGATCCGGGAGTCCTGGAACCTTCTCCATAAGAACATCGCCAGAGTGGGGATCATTGTCTTTATTGGGTAAGCCTCGAAGGTTTCTCTCTTTGCAAGGGAACATCCCAGTCAATGCAACATAAGCCACGAATGTGCAGCTGTTGGGGAAGGCTGGTCTTTGGTCACGTGACTGTGGGGGTCATAAATGTCTGTGGCAATTGTCCGTCATCCAGGTCAGGGTTGCCCCAAAAGTGCTTTTTCCAAAGGACTTTGTTTTTCCTTGAAGACTTTTCCCTTCTCACCCAAGGAGCTTCTTCCGTTCTGACTGAATGAGTCAGAAGATTCATTCAGAACGGAAGAAGCTCCTTGGATGAGAAGCGAAATGTCTTCAAGGAAAAACAAAGTCCTTTGGAAAAAGCACCTTTGGGACAACGGTCAAAAGTGTGGAAATTGGTCCTAAATCACTGTTTTTCAGTCCTGTTGTAGCATTGAGCAGTCACTAAATAAATGGTTGTAAGTTGAGGACTACCTATAAAGCATTTCTCTATTGCAGCATCTGCATCTTCCCCAAAGATCTGGGGGTCTTCCCCCGCCCCACTGAAGGTGTCCCCAGAAGACCTGGCTGTTCTCCCAGGCCTTGGACAAGATAAGGGCCAAGCGCTTGTCCCTCCCTCCCCTTCATCCCTCTATTCATTCCTCCCTCCTTCCCTCCTTCCCTTCATCCCCCCTCCCTCCATTCATCCCTCCCTCCTTTTCTTCATTCCTCCATTCATTCCTCCATCCCTCCATTCATCCCTCCCTCTCTCCTTCCCTTCATCCCTCCCTCCCTCCTTCATGTGTGGGGTTCATTCTTCTCCGCCATCCGGCTTCTCTTCCTTTCTAACTTCTAAGCCACCCACGGAGGTCGGCAGTCCAGGGAGGGAATCTCTAAATCTAATTTAATGAAATAAAATAGTGTTTCTCAAGGGGGGGGGACTCCACTTTGCAAGATGATTCATCCCAAAGTTGCATCTCTTGGGATCAGCAGCCTCTCCCACGCCTGGCGGGCTCCCCAACCAAGGGAAGTCAACTCGCCAGGCAGGGGAAACGGAGGATTGGCCCCTGGCTTCCTTCGCAGGGAGGCATTCCCAGTCAACCACAATGCCCGTTTAAGGAACCCCTCCCCCCCCATTTGACTCTGAGACTTCCATCTCGGTTCTCCCTCGGGAGAAGTTTTGCATCCAGATATATTTTATTCTTTGTACTGCTCCCATCTGCCCTTAAAACATGAACAGAATCCACAATGGGAATCTGAGAATCGGCGTCTCCACTAGATAATCGACAGTCAAGCTGAAAATCAATCAATCAAGTTGAAATAGCAAACGGGGATGAAAATCCTTTACTCTGACAAAATGAAATTCAATGGTGAAAAAAGCAAGGTTGGGGAGATTGGGGGCCCAGTGGAAGAGGGTCTTTGTCTGGTGCATCATCAGTGCTAGAAGGGAAGGGGGTTTGGGAGGAGGAGGAGGAGGAGGACTGGGGGGTCCTTGGTGCTCTCTGTGCTTGGTGGTTTTCTTGCAGACCTTTCATGACCCAACTAGGGAACATGATCAGTGCTAGAAGGTAATTTGGGAGGAGGAGGAGGAGGTGAATTGTGAGGTTTTTGGTACTCTCTGCACTTCATTTTTTTCTTGAAGACTTTTCATGACCCAACTAGGTAACAACATCAGTGCTAAAAGGGAGAGGAGTTCCTATCTGCGTTATGAAATCTCTGCAAGAAAATCACCAAGCTCAGAGAGCATCAAGTACCCCATAATCCTCCTCTTCCTCCTCTTCTCCTCCTCCCCCTTCTAGCACTGATGATGTTCCCTAGTTGGGTTATGAAATGTCTGCATGAAAACCACCAAGCTCGGAGACCACCAAGGCCCCCACTGTCCTCCTCCTGTTCTGGCCAGTCATACCGGAACGCCCACTGCTGCAGACAGTCAGTTTTTACTCCCCTGGGATCGTATGCAAGTCATTCAATGAGGCAATAAATTCCACTCGTGATTATCAGACTCACAGCAAGCCGATAAGCATTTTCCGCCCCAGGAAACCTTTTCGCATCAGGATCTCGGACCTCTGCACAGTCTCCCAGCAGGGCTGATCCACGCTGACTCGCAAACGAGGGAAGCATCTCTGGAAACTTGTTCAGGGGCCATTGTGGATCAACCCTGGATGAGAATCTGCCCAGAGACTCTGCAAGGGTCCGGTTGATTTCCAGATGTTAAGCGGCTCTGCAATCTGTTGGAAAGGGACCCCCTGTTTGCCAAGGGCAAAGGCTGGCATGGGAAGAGAGAGAAAGAAGGAAGGAGAAAAATATGAGCCCCCCCTCCTTCTACAGCCCCCATCCCCCCACCCCTTGCTGGCTCTTTTTTTTCCAATATTTTTTTTTTCATTTTATTCTTTCCAAAATTAAAATACAAACTCTAAAAGGAAAAAAAGAAGAAAGAAACAAGAACAAAATTAAACTAAACAAAACAAGAAAAAAATGTCCATTAAAAAAACCCCATACACATAGATTGTCGTGTCTCCCCCACACACCCCAACAACAAATATATTTCAATAATAATAGTTCCCTTGCAAAACTCTCTTGTGCCCCTTTTAGGCTTCACCCCCTGGGGCCCAGCTGGCTTAACGCCTCTCCTGCCCCCTGGAAGCCTAAGGGAGGCAGCAGCAGGGAGGAGGGCAGCCCCAGCCTCTCCCTTCTTGCAAGGGCTTTTGTGGAACCTTCCTGCCTCCCTCCCACCCCAGGGGCCTTCCCTTGTTTGGCAGGCTAAGGTGCCCACCTGACGGGTTTTGTGTAGAAGCCGAGGGAGCTGGCACCAGCTTTTCAGGTGGCTGCGCCATTCAAATGCTCCTGGCTAATTAAAATCAGAGCAAAATAGATGAACGTCCTGAATTATAACCCACCAAGGTAGCCTTATGTTTCTTGAACTGAGCTCTTTCCAAGGGAGAATCACCGAAGGAATCCGATTTGGCAAGTCCTCTGGGCTGTTTTTCCTTTGGCGCCCCTGGAAGTCCAGTTTGTTCATGTTGGCAGGAGAACGAGAGAAAACATTGAACGCAGAATGTGGAAGGAAGGAAGGAAGGAAGGAAGGAAGGAAGGAAGGAAGGAAGGAGTAACAGAATAACAGAGTTGGAAGGGACCTTGGAGGTCTTCTAGTCCAACCCCCTGCTTGAGCAGGAGACCCTCTACCATTTCAGACAAAGGGTTGTCCATGTTGCAAAAGATGCCCAGTTAGAACTAGTACAATCATCTTTCAGCCACAGAATTTTTAATGCGGACTACAGGGTCATAAAAAAGGAGGTTTTTGTTTTTTTAAATTCTTAAGTTTGTTGATAAGGGACAACAGCAAGAGCCCTGGTGGCGCAGCAGACTAAAGTACTGTTATTAACATCAAGCTGATTCCAGCCTGCATAGTCATAAGAATAATTGGTCGCATTTATATGCCACCCAACTGCCAGCAGCTCTGAATTTCCCAGCGACGGAAAACCCATCCCTTTTCAGTGCCTGTCTCTGTCCCTTACCCAGCTTCAATGCAGTTTCCTCCCACGAAGAGAGCCACAAATCCACGAATCCAAAATCAATGACATCTTTTTAAGTGGCTCCAACATCCACTACATCCCAAGGCTGATCACGTCTCCCACGCTGGAGCAGACACGACCGGATTCATCTTCTTAAGCCTCTTTTAATGAAACCACAACATTCAAAGAATTTGATAGAAAGGAAGGTCTGTTTGTTATTTAGTCAAGGCCAAGTGCTTACAGACAGCTAGGGAGCAGTCAAAACTTTAACACATCCTTTTCAACTTCTGAATCGTGTGTTGCACCGTTGCGTTGCCTTTGTTTGTTTTCACTGGGGTAAGAAGAAGAAAGACAGCTCTCCAGACGCCTTGCATTTCTGCAGAAAAGTTTCCAATTGAACCTTATCCACATGGATTATATTGAAAGGCCCACCATCCAAAAAGCCCAACAAAGAATGTTCTTCCTGCGCCAACTCCGAAAACTCAGATGGCCCAAAGAGCTGCCGATAAGCGTCCTACAAAGGAATGATGGAGTCTGTCATTTGCACCTCTGTACCTGTCTGGTCTGGCACAGCAACCAAACAGACTCCGAGGGATGGTCAGGATTGCAGAGAAAATAGTTGCAAGAGTTGCTTTGCTGGCTGGGGAATTCTGGGAGTTGCCAAGGTTGGAGACCCCTGCTATAGGGCACTGCATGCCAAAACAACCAGACACAAGGACAGCCCCCCACCCCCACCCCCAATGCTATCACTCTGGTAAACCACTAATTCCCACAATACTGTCTTATGCCCTGGGATATTGAACCGTTAGTAGGGCTGTATTTACCTATTAGCCTTCTCATCTTTCCTATTTCCTAGGCATCTTGTTATTTCTATCTTATGATTTATGTTGATTGGTTTTATTTAGTATCTTATGACTATCGCTGAGTGTTGCACCTTATGATTTATGGGGATTGTGTTTTATCATTATGATCATTATTTATCACTTGTTGCTTATATGTACAATGAGAGCATATGCACCAGAGACAAATTCCTTGTGTGTCCAATCACACTTGGCCAATAAAGAATTCTATTCTATTCTATTCTATTCTATTCTATTCTATTCTATTCTAT